AGAAGAAGAGCATTACCGAGATTAGTTAAGCATCAAACACCAAATTTGCGAAGAGACGCGTTCTATGCTACCTCCTCACATTTCAGTTCAATAGTAGTGGTTATTTTGGACGATTTAGAATTGTGTTGATGATGCTTAAAATATTCCAGTTATTTTCCTGTCTTCTACTTGGGTATTACAGGATTGCCTCACCTCTTATTGCACCGTTATCAAATTCTCATGCTAAATGAAGAAAGTCAAAATGGGATGTTGGAAGGGAGCGTCGGCCTCCACTTCCAATTTTTTGACATGCTGGGTAAAACAAATATCGCTTGTGGCCAAATTATTCGAGAAGAGCGGTTTTGTGCCGCAACTTGATAATGCCAAGGAACAAGAAAGGATATTCAGAACATGCAATTTTTACCAAGGCTTTGTACCATTGACATACGCCGCACGATTTGAAAAGATTAGAAATACACAAGGTGAAGTACATACACACATATTCATCCAGTGTAAAATGCATATTACTAACTCACCAACGCGCAACGCCCACATCTGTGTTTGGCCAGGCATTCACCGTAGTCATTGGTGGCATTTCATAAATTTATCAAATCGGTTTCTTGCCGTATGACACGGCAATGACTAATCCTCTAGTCACCGTGACACACTGTACAGTAATGTCGTGCTTATTCAAACGCCACACATTTCACTGAATCAGCGGCTCACCCTACCTCAGAATGTGCCCCAGCAGTAGGGGTGAATGGATAAAAATATTAGCAAATATACATTCATGCATGGGCATTGTAATGGAGCCTTGTATTGTTAAGCGACGCACAGACGGAAAATCGGGCTCCTCGAAATCCAAATGTATGCCTGACTTGAAGTGTTAAGCAAGTAACGTGCATCACTTCTAGCATGTCAATGGCAAAGTGTGAGTTTAACACTCACATTAGTGCAACTTTGAAGAAAGCTGTGTGGTTTCCTTGACAGGGGATGAACAATTGCATTTTGGCAGCCTATAGGGATTGCTAAGGCAGCATGTACAGAACGAGGACCGAAGTCTTTAAGTATTTGTAGCACCCAGATGCACACGGGTACAAATGTGACTTGAATTGCTCTGGCTCCGGTAGATGCAAACAGATGCATAGAAAGATCGGCAAAGGTAATCGCACATCCTGGAAATTGCTGCTACGTTTCCTTTATGGTGAGAATAGCTGAATCTCGTCATTGGAGTTAAATCAAGCATTGCCTTGTATTGTAAGAACGTTTGTTTTATAATTCCATTCATTTTATATATCTGCACTGGTAATTCTATGCACCATCAGATTGCTCATTTACGTGCATAGTATTAACTTCAAAAATTTTGGCATATCTTAACAAAATGAGGAGACAGATTGGCCTAACTTGCCCAAAGTATACGTAAGAGCTGGGTTTAGCGGAAATCAGCATTTGTTATCACACTAGATACTTGTGAGGCCTAGGTAATTGTTATTATGTACCCATAAACTAAATGCAAATGTACCTTCTACCTATTTGTACAAATTAAACCTTATTTATCAACAGACGCTCATTGCGTAGTCCATTAATGAGCGTTGCATCACTCGCAATATTC